TGAAGTGAAACTGAATGGTGCAGAAGATAGTGGCAGGGAGGGAGGGAAAAAGTAGGTACCTTGTGAATCCCACACCATCGGAGATGCCTCCTCCTCGCTGTCGCCGGACCTGCAGCCGCAGACGCATCAGAGATCTATCTTTTCTAATCTGTAATCTAATCAATCTAGGGGCGTAGAAGGGGGAGGAATCGTCCTCGTCCGAGGACCCGCCGGAGGAAGGAGGGTGCAGGAATACGAACCCATCGGAGCCGGAGTCGGAGTAGGAGGTCGCGTCGGAGAATGGCGGCGGAGCGGCGGCAGGAGTCGCCATGGCTCGCCACTCCTGCCTGGAAGTGAAAGCTGGGGCCTTGCTTTTTCTTTTCTTTTTTTACCGCCCGTCGGTCACCGAGGGGTGGGGCCCGCTTGGCAGAGGTCGAAGAGGAGTTATTATAGCCGTGAGGAGCCCAACAAACTCTTCAAATTTGACTTCTCAAATTCTTGTACTACTGCTGCCAAACTTGAAACTGTAGTTGCTATTTTCGAACTGCTGCTATATCTCGAAATGATTGTACTACTTCCCAATGGCCATATTTTGCAACGGCCATATTTTGTCTCGTCTATATATATGCGTGAAAAGACTAATTTTGTATACGGCGTCCTATAGACTCTGGCCAGGAAAAAGCAGGGGTCATTCATCTTTGCCTATGTAAGAGAGTCGGGGGTGAGTTTCGGGCGGCCACGAAGAGAGGGGTGGTTTTTCCAAAGATTCTCTTGAGGTCTAGATAAAAGCCGAGCGGCGGAGGAGATCTGGCGAGTTCGTCTTTTTTGCAAACCGGTATCGGATAGCGGTTGCAATGGGATTGGGTTTAAAATTTAAAGAGTGGGAGAGGACGCCTACCGCTTGAACTTGCTCTTGTACTACTACACAACTGCAAATCATTTTAAATCGTCTCAAAACAGCCTCCTCTTAATTTAGAATCCAACTGCATCTTTGGCTCACACGATTTGAAAAACACAGAAATAGAAATGGAGCATTCAGACGCCACGACATTTTGAATCATACAGAGAACTCAAATCGTGGAAATGTGTACATTACACCAAGACTTTCCTTGAATAATAGGCGCATATTACAGTTGCCACAAACACACAAAGGAAAATTTCAATTAAGGACCATATATAACGCCATCCGGAAGATTAGGTGCATATTGTGGTTGTCAGTTGTGACAGAAAAAGGAAAATGTTATGTTGGTCCTCAGCAGAAATTTCCCTTCTAAATCACTTGCAAAGTAGAAAAAAAATCCAAATGGTTTCCAATTTTATAAACAAACAAGTAAATAGATCCTCCTGTGTAAATAGATCCAAATGGTTTCCAATTTAATAAACAAACAGGTAAACGGATCCTCGGGCCCTCTTATGCAAATTGGTTGTATGAAAAATGTCAGACAACCAAGAATTATTCATCCTGACAACGCACTTTTATAGGAAGATGCTCTTCTCCATCCAAATACGAATTTCATTTCATTTCAGCACGATTATTAGGACGATGTTATGTGAGACATCATTGTTTTAGAGAGGGCTGAGCAATCTCACCAGGTCAACTTTGTTTGTAAGAAGAAGAAAAAAACCCATGAATAAATCAGTGAAGACCACCCAAGAAACACATATACTTACACTACATCAGAGGAGGGGGGAAACCAACACATTGGTGAGGCCAAGGATTATACACACACCCACACACCAACCAACCAATGTGTCCAAAAAAATTCGAACAATCATCATCATCATCATATCATAGTCCAGGTTATATTATCCTTTGCTGCAAGAGAAAGCTTCCATCGCCTTCTTCCTCTCCTCCTTGTATATTCTACGTACCATCTAGTTACATGATGAAGTAAGCTCGGATCACCTCAATAATGGGTGCGCGGCACAGCGGACACTTCCCTCCACTTCGAACCAACTCGTTCGCGCATTTCGAGCACGTGCACATGTGCCCACATCTGCGCCACCCACGAAAAATCATGCTCAGAACACTACTGGATAATAATAGGCAATCATATGTTTCAACAGCTTGCACCCTAATAATAATGGATAAAAAACCAACCTGTACAGAAGAGAATCGATCGGAGTATCACAGCATACACAGCAAGTGCCTTTCCTCACATTCATCCATTTCGATCCATCGTCGATGGTCTCCTTGGGTTCCCCTGAGACACCATGTACATCGGCATTCAGGGTACAATCGTATAAGCACAAGAAAAAAGATAAAAGGCAAAGCTCTACACCAAGACTAAATTTAGCAATTAAAGGTGCTGTTAATGGATAACTACCAGCATTTTTTGAAAGGTGAGACCGAGCATGCCAAGCTATGTCTTCCTTTCTAAATTAGCCCAGGATCCACCATAAGAGTTTATGTCGAAAACAGGAGTTACTAACCTTGCTCCCCGATGAAGCGATTCAAGGCCGCGGAAACTTCCTGCCTCACAGAACGTTGTAACTCAAGCTGCATATCCATGCAAGCTTCCAACATCCTTTGCATATGACCCATACCTTGCTGAAGTCTAGCCATATCAGCCCTCAAATCATTAATAGCCTCCCATTCCTGCAGAAGCAAACCAGAAGAAACATTATATGCCTTTAGCTTTTGATATATAGCCTGCAAAACTTCCCTAAAAAAACTTAAAATGTCCTCCCATCAATCTTACAAAGAAGGGAAGTTATTGCAAATCCGATTATCTATAACAAAATAGTCCAAATTAAAGCAAACAAGACCAAGCGGTGCTCGACTGGCTAGAGCGCATGCCTGTAAGCTCGCCCACCCGCGTCCAAGGCGCAGCCTCTGCAGGTACCTCATTTCTACCTAAACAAAATGTACAGTCAAGGGAGGGAACTTCCCCCTTTTAACCACGTTTTTGAAATGCCAACAAATAAAATAGTCCAAATTAATGCAAACGAGAACCGAGCAGGGCTCGGCTGGCAAGAGCACACGCCTGTGAGGCACAGCCTCCGCAGGTGCCTCACTTCTACCTAAACGACATACCGTTAAGGGAGGGAACTGTTAGATATATTATGTCTCCTCTTCTAACAGATCGGTCTTTTGGGATAGTTGGTTGATAGGAATATCTAACATGCTATTGGACATGAAGGGTCTTGGGTTAGGAATATCTAACAGAAACTTCCCCCTTTTACCACATTTTTTAATGCAGCAAAACAAATTAAAAAGTGAATAAAAGTGTGTGCAGTAATAAGAATGTCAAAGAGAATAGCTCACGATATCGGAGCGGTTGATGTTCTGTCTCATCCAGTTGTTATGATGCAGCTCCGAATGCCAAAGTGGTTGACGAGGAGGCATAGGTGGAGGTGGGATCACTAAGCGAGGCCTAACATTTGCAGCATCACGAAGAAGTTGCTGTTCCTCGTCGTCATCTCCATGCCGCTGCTCTTCTTGATCTTGCTCCTGCTGGTCAGGGGTTGCTGCTGCTACCGCAGGTGTTCCTTGCAGATTCAAAGAGAGAGGACCACGACCTTGCCGTTCAACGTATGACCGGATAAGGCGGTCTAGGTTTTCACGGAAAGCGCTATCAAGAAGATTAGAAACGCTCCTTCTGCAGAATTATTGAACAATGTATATATCAGCGTTAATAATAAGTCACGTTTGGTGCTGAGCTTCTCTTAGTCTTAGTGCAAGAAAGAAAGAAAGAAAAACCTGCTTAGAAGCTCCCTTAGTTCTGTGCTGTAGACATTATCGTCATCGCCAGGGGTAAATGTATTAACTCTTCTGATGAGCGTAGACTCCTGGTCAACGGGTTGCTCTGAATGATCGTCATGCCAGTTATGCGCACTCCCATTGGACTCATCGTCGTCGTGCCACACTTCATTCATTTCTGGAAAATGATCGTCACTGGGCCACTCATCACGCACTTGTGCGGGATCATTACCCTCCCTGTTCCACTCTCCACGCGCTTCTTGGAGATGATTGTTGCCTTCAAGCGCTTCGGGGAGATGGTTACTGTCAAGCTGCTCTTCATGTGCTTCAGGAAGATTATTATCACTAATTGTTGACTCATCACTTGTTTCCAGAAGATACGAGGCACCTTGACGATCTCCAGCCTCTGTTGTCCTCTCATCAGACGATGATGAACTGCTGTCCGCACTTTCAATCCAGTTTCTGCCAGATCCCTCTCCAGTCGTAGTAATAGCATGGGAAAACTGATCCCAGTCTCTTCTTCTATCCACCACCTCCAAATCTTCCTGCCAACCCTCCTCCTGACTATGAGGCTCGGACAATCCTTCAGCAATACTAGGAGCATTGCTTCCATAATCTGACCCTGTTGCTGTCTCTCCAATTCGCTGAAGATCAACATTATCGTTTGCCTGTCGATGCATGTCCTGAGTATCTTCAGAAGCAGCACGGCTTGATTCAGAATGGTCAATGGTTGAGAGCTCGACAGTCTGAGCTGAAGATGAATCCGACCGGCTAGCTGCTTGACCTCGTACAAGATTCTCCAATCTGAAACGGAAATCCTCCTCTAGTTATTATTTAGTTCACAGTAAAACGTTCATGCAAGTACATTATAAGTGCAACAGCTAAATTGGTCCCGAACTCGCATATGAGATTACAGCATTTCACTTCAGATAAAGAATAAATCACACATTTCAACATGAACCAGGACAAAAATACATTTTGTGAGTTTAGTGAGTAAATGCTTGCTTAAGCTTAACATCATCGATTGATCCGTTATTGGAATCTTATGATTAAATCCGTGGGCATCGTATAACCATCATTGCTCCAAACATCATGCATACGTTTGATTAGGACAAATATCAGCAAAATGGGGCGCAAACAAAATGATCAAACTGTAGCGATATCAGCATCAGTACAACTAACCACTAAGAATCATGCATGCATGGGCACTCCATACATATAAGATGGACCTCCTCCAACCAAAGCAACAGAAGCAGAATGTCCCGACAATGACCCATCAATTAGTAGTCCCAAAATCAATAATTTCGCTTGCATAAATCCTTTCCAGGAAAATAAATGGAATGCTATTGCTATTATCCACTAAGCATGGGCAGCAGCAGCAGCAGCAAGGATAAAGATGCGAGCTTGCTGACCTGAGGCCGGAGACGGGGTGGCGCTGCCGGAGCTGCCCGAGCTCCCTGGCGGCCACCGACGGCTGCCTCCTCTCCTCCTCCGGCAGGCCGCCGTTCCGCAGAAACCTTCCCCGGAGCAGCGCCTGTGGTTAGAAAAATCTCTAGTAAGAAATGAGCAATCGTGCTACAGCTAATGGAACAGTGGCCGGCGGCTTGTAGGTGGAGGACGACGCACGCACGTGGATTCGGTTGCGGTGGGGGAAGGCGGAGACGGCGCGGCGGAGGGAGAGGCGCTGGAGCTCGGCGTGGCGGTCGGCGGCGAGGCGCATGACGAGCTCGAGCCTGGCCTGGCGGCCGCGGATCCGGGGGCCGGCGGCGGGCGACGGGGGCGGGTGCGGCGGGTCGCCGCCGTCGGCGCCGCCCTGGTCGCGGTCGCGGTCGCGCGCGGCCTCCATCTGGACCTGGACCCAGTCCCGGACGAGGCGCACGCGGTCGCGCTCGATCTCGCCGAGCCACCAGCCGGCGTCGGCGGCGGTGCCCGAGATCCGCGCGGCCCGGTCGTCGCTCCAGCGGCGCGCGGCGCGGCGCACGGCGTCTCCGTCGGCGCTGTCGGCGCCCGGGGAGCCCTCCCTGCTGCTGGATCCCTCCTCCCAGTCGCTCTCGCTCCGGGGCTCCGACGGCTCTCTGCGGGGGCGTCGGCGCGGCGCGGTCACGGGCGCGGGCGGCGGGGCGTCGGCCATCGGCGGCCGCGGCGAGGCATTGGGGTTTGGTCGGAGGGGACGGAGGCAACCAACGGAGGTGGAGTCGAAGCAAGTCAAGGTGGAGACGAATTTGGTTGGCCGGAGAGATTAGCTAAAGACACGATTTTTCTTCCCTCTCCTTTTCATTTCCTTTCCTTCCCTTTCGTATATGCAATAATGATTCATTCAAAAGAAATGGCAATGATTCATAGAGATGAGTGTATGCGCGTGTATACGAGCGCTTGTGTCTGTACTGATGCTCAAAAAAAATGGCAATGTGGTGGGAAACCTAAAATATTGCAAAATCCATTATTGGTTTCCATTTATGTCCGCAAAAACAAAATCCATTACTGTTTTCTCTCGTTATCCGCATTGACATATTCTGAGACAAGATTGCGAGGAAGGGACCGATTACACGATTAGCTACCTGGTAGGTCCCGCGGCTACAAAATGCCTCCCACTCTAACAGAAACTACATTTATTAAAAAAAAATAGCAAAAACTACAAAAATTTCTACCCATGGCCGGGTCCCGGCACACCAGAAGATGAAAAAATGATGTGTTTGTAGACCTCATGGCCTCATCCCACCGTCTCAAAGCATTCTCAAACAACAATAACAACAACAACAACAACAACAGAGTTCAAAGCATCCATGTGCAATCAAATGATGATCATCTGATGTATAACAACATATAAGTTTTCTCCGTTGTTGTTTGTTGTTGCTGTTGTTATTGTTGTTGTTGTTGTTGTTGTTGTTGTTGTTGTTGTTTCAAATTGCATTTACGTCATCGGTGAGCAAGAACTATTCTGACCAAAAAGGAAAAGTATAGTGAAAGGACCATATACAACAGTTGCTCATTCAACTACTTTTATACATAGATGGTGGTGATGTGGGCCACCGGTCATTAGTTTGAGAATGGCAAGAAAAAAGACAATAGTTTTAACACACAGTCTTCCTTTTCCTTCTTTTTTTCTTTGTATATGGAATTATTATTCAAAAGATAGAATTATGGAGGGAAACTTAAATGTTGCAAAGTGAATTACTCTCTTCGATCCATATTACTTGTCGGAGGTTTAATACAACTTTGTGGATTGGAGGGAGTATTGTTTTCCTTTTATATCTTCTGAAAATGCATTATCATTTCCTCCGGTTGTTCACATTGGCATCTTCATAGCCAAGATTGCAAGGGAGAAACCAATTACTCTCTTTTTTTTTTGAATAGAAACCAACACGCGATTAGTTCATACTTAGCCAAGCAGTTGCTGGAAATTAAACCCATTAAGCGTCAGAAGAAGAGCGGCCAACCAGCTATGCCACGTGGCGCAAGCTGGTTGGCCGCGGTGAGAAAGCTTTTGGAATATTTTTATGGAGGTGAGGATTTTTTTTGAAATATTTTTGTAGATGGAGGTGAGGACCCCATGTATTTTTTTAAATGGAGGGCTATGCAAAGCGGCGCTCGCTGATAAGGCTATGATGATATTTTTTTTTGTTTATTTTTTAGATGGAGGTGAGGATTTTTTGGATGTTTTTTTAAATGGAGGTGAAGACTCTATGTATATTTTTAAATAAAAATGTGCGTGCAGCTTCCTCTCACAGGGTGACGCCCCAACCATTAGTATATGATTCAACATGAGTTTATTACTCCCTACAAAATGGCTCCTTAGAATAAAACTATTGAAAAAAATGTACTCGCGTTGGGTCCCACTATCCTGGATGAAAAAAAAATGACGTGTTTCATAGATCTCACAACCGGATCCCAGCTGAGTTCAAAGCACCACGTGCAAAAGAACGTCTGGTCATTCGATGTATAACGGTATAAAAGATTTCTCCTACACTACTAATATTATACCAATTCTAAACCACTTCCGTTGCAAATTGCATCTATGTCGTTCTCGCATGAAAAGGGAAAAGTGTATATAGTGAAAGGACTATATGCAGCAGTTGCAATACTATTTCTCCTCGTGTACACCAAGGATTTGGCATACTTTAATAACAACTTTGCTTAATCAACTATTTTCAGCCAGAGATGGTGGTGGTGTAGGCAAGCAGTCGCTAGTTTGAGGCTGACCTCTAACGAAAAAGCGACTAGTTTTATCATATGATTGGTTGGAGAGGTTGGATGCAAGCAGGGTTTATCTTTTCTTCCCCCCTTCACCTTTTCTTTTCTTCGTAGTATATGGAATAACCATTCAAGATAAATTGAAATCTTGAGGGAAACTTAAATATTTAAAACACTTTGTGTTGTGTCTCCACTTGTCCACTGCTGACATCTTCATAAATAAGGTTGCAAGGAAGAAATACATATATCACAGAAGAAGAAAATACAACATGTTCATAAACCTCTAGCTAGGCCGGACCCCACTCCCTCCAATAACGGAGCAACAGAGTTCAAAGCATCCATGTGCAAAGAAACAAACATTCATCATTCAATGTAGTATAACGGCACGGCAGAAGATTATCATACCATTTTCATTGCAAATCACATTCGCGCTGTCGATATTCACCGCAAGAAGTCTTGTCGCGGTGGAAAAATATGAAAAGGGAAAGTAAAACGACAATATACGGCATGTTCAAGGAAAGTACACCAAGGATTTGACCTATTATTTTCAGAACTTTGCATGTTCAATTATTTTTGCAGATGGTGGCGGCATAGGCAGGCAGAATTATCAACATTTCCGGAATCGGCACCAGACACTACTCTGAGACAAACCTCTAAGGAGAAAAATAAAACAGTTTTAAGTAAAGGATTACCATACGATAATTCGCCAAGTCAGCGTTTAGATGCGCCAATATATTTGTTTTACACATTGCAAAAATAAAGTCATTGTCATGTGATATAGTAGTCATACATGACACGCGAAACAGTAATAATAACAGCAAATATCGCAACATAAAAAAGAACATTGTTCTCCCAAAAATGCTTGTGTAATAGTACCGCATGAATTTGGCAGCAGCTGCAAACATGGTTAAAACATCGGTTTCATCAGGAAAATAGAACAACCATGTGGAATTCTTTAGTTGGTGCAAAAGCTGAAACAGGGGGAAAGTAGCTTGGAGTCTTGGGACTTCCTCCAGGAATAAACAGACGCAAGGTGCTAAGCTAGGATTTGGTGCAAGGTGTGGCATTAATTCCCTCCGTGCAGCAGCGCTTTCAGATTCAGAGAATTCTTTGGTTCCAAGCCTAGCATCTTGACTTTCACAGCAAAAATTTAACCAAGTGTAAACATCAAGTGCGGCTCTTCTGTGTGATCTTCACTCTTTCCGCAGCCCGAACATCAAATGCAGCTACTGTATCTCTTGCTAAAAAACGCGAGTTTTTTCATAGGGTATCTCTCGCTCTGGTTTACTTCTTGCGTACACCAAAAAGACAGACATCAGCAAAAATCAGCTTATTTTCGTATAGCGGCGCATAGGAGCGTCCGTCCCATGGCTTATTCGAGGATCCTCTCTCCGGTCGAAAAGACGTTCCACACCACTGTCCCTACTATGTACAGCAGAACAGCCACCTGAAACACGCTGTCCCAAGAGCCTGCGAGCGATAAATACAGTAGGAAGTTAGCATATGAAAGAGTTGCATATTCTGTGTGAAAACAGGGTTTCACCTTTCTGAAGGATGTAGCCAGTGGCAGCAGTACCAAAAACTCCTGCAAGCACGCCGGCGGTGTTCGACAGCCCAAGAAGCACCCCCTGCAATTTTGCAGGACACTGTCTAGTCAGACACATTCATCGGATCGCAAGCCAAATCAAGCAACCAGTAGCCAATGTCTTATCTGAAGAACTAGTGAACACAAGAACAGTGACAATTCAGACGAGGACATTACCGCGTAACGCGGTCCTATATCCTGGTGGTTCGAGTACAGCCCAGACTGTGAAAAAGCATCACTCCCCTACCAAAAAATGAACAGAAATATCAGCAACCAATCATAGCACAAGATTTATTTGTGTTTCAGAAGTGCAAACCTGACTGCATGCCATACACAGCACGGCCATGGCTGGTGTGCGGACTTTGCTCAGCAGTGTCAAGAACAAGGCTGGTCCAAGAAAACCGATAGATTGCATGATCTGCACGGAGACAGGTTGCAAAGCATGTCAAGATTGGCAACTATGCGCAGAACGAACTTTTGCCCAGACACACACAAAAAAAATACACACAGGAAATAATTAACAAGGTACTGAAAATGAACTTACCTTGCGAACATTTGTTATCGAAACCCCTCTCGCAACAAGTGTGTCAGCTATCCAGCCACCAACGTTTGCAAACACGGCCATTGTCAGCCACGGCAGGACACACAGAAGCCCGGACTCGGTGAGATTGAACTTCAGAACCTGTATAAAACCGTTCGGTGGGTACAGCATGCATGACATGAACCTGTATAAAACCGGACGAGCAATGATGAATGCCCAACATTTTGCACTAATAAATTACCTGATTGTAGTATGTGGGCATCCATGTAAGGAGAATGAATGTTCCCCAGTTATGGCAGAAATGTGATACTATGAGGGCCCATACTGCAGGCTTTGATAGGATTAACTTCCATGGTATGGAGGTAACAGGCTCCTTTAAGGTACTACCACCTAGTATGTGCCTCTTTTCATCTTCGGTTACTTCCGGATCTTCACTCGGAGAGCTGCGCGCCTAATTAGAACAGAGACCAGCAATGAGCTGAATAGCAAGGATGAGAATCTAAAAGCCGAAAAAACGTCACCAAGTAAAAGTTTAGCATTCTCATTTCCAGAGCTGTTCATGTTAAATTAAATTCTGTGCACAGCAAGTACTTATGACATATGCAAGTGCACTGAGAAATAGCACCGCATGGCAGAAGGTGAGAAAGGAGTGCAAAAAATTGGTATGTCTTACTTTGAGTTGCCACAGTGTAAACCAGATGCTTCCCAGGGACCCAAATCCATAGAAAACAGAAGGCCAACCGAATTTGCTTATCAGGAAAGGTGAGAAGGCCAGGCCGGTAACTGAACCAAGGTACATTCCACTGTATACCAATGCAAGAGATCTGCTCCTCTCTGAAACCGGGATCCATTTGGAAAGGATGTTGTTCATGGCCGGCATGGCAACACCCTGTTGGAAAAATAGATATAAGAAAAATAAGCCAAAAGGGCATTTTTTGCAACAAGAGATTGATTTATTAACGGTGTCTGTGCTACTAATAATTCTAAGAAGCTGATATATATATCCAAATACTTGATGATCCATAACATTTTAAGGCATATGTTGTCTATACATCTGATGAATAGCATAAAGTAATTTAGAGGGGGCAGTAGAAGACATCTACCTCGCCTATTCCCATGAAAGCACGCACGACGAGTAGGAACGGAAGGCCAAGCTTGGCAGCAAATGGTGTAAGAATTGTTGCAATAGACCACCATACAACCCCGAACCCAAGGACCACCTTGCCGCCAAAACGGTCAGCCCAAATGCCTCCAAGAATCTGCAACACAAGTTCACGAAATCAAGGACGGTGCCCATGTACATTCAATTGAAACTGAAACTAAAATCAAGAATCTGCGACTGCAAGCGAAGGTGAACACTGAACAATAAGAAACAAATGCAGAGAAAAATGCTCTAGGTACGAATATAGCAATGTACCTGAGTGAGAAGGTAGCCCCAAAAGAAAGAAGACTGGATGAGGCCAACGGTCGCCGGGCTCCAGCCGAACTCCGCTGACATCGGGAGGATGGCGATACTCATATTGACCTGGCAGGGTTCAGTCAATTAATTCTCAGTACTGAAATAACAGTCACAACAGAAAAAAGGTTCAGTTACACAAAGCACTAATGAACTCACACGGTCCATGTTGCAGAGCAGGAATGAGAAGAAGCAGAGGACGACGATGGTCATGCGCTTGGGGAACTGCTGCCACCAGGCGGGAGAAGAAGCAGCCTCTGGGCTAGCAGCATCTCCGACCAGGACGGCGGCCTCTGCGGGGACGTCGCCCAGCGGCGCCCCGGTCATCTCGTACTGCTCGGCCCTGCAGTCTCCGCGCTGCTTTCTGACGGGCGCTCTGTACTCGGGCTGCAGCACCCCGGCGGTGTCGAGGCCGGTGAGGTTCTTGGGTTTGTGCCATCCGCTGGTGACCGGGTCCGAGGATAGGAAGCACTCGACCCTTGACAGGACCCTCCTCTTCACCAGGCCTGCATTATTGTTGCAGAGCCTCATGGGAGTAGAGTTGAGCTGAGGCTGCTGAATCTGAATGTGGGCAGAGAATTGGTTCCCGGTGCTCCTGGAGACATGCCGGCCGGTTCCTCCATTTCTGTCTCCGGCAACCAGCTGGGAGCACACCGGCCACCTGGTGTGTGGCGACGACGTAGAGGAATACTTGATCATCATCATGGTGTGATGTTGCTGCTGCTTTCCTGTATGTATGTATGTATGTATGTATGTAAGAGCAGCAGTCAGTTGAGCATAAAGGTTAGGCCTGCAACAGAAGTGCAGAAGGCATCTCAAGGGAAAACAAGACACAACTAACTCAGTGTCACTACACTCTCTGTATTCCCTCTGTGACAGGTGCATTTCTAGATTCCCTCTGTGATAGTGCTCTAAACGCCAGCTTTTATATTAGTTTACGGAGGGAGTAGTATTTATGGTTGTGGAGTGTTGAGCGATGGAATGCTGTAGGGCTCATTCAGTTTGGAGGAAACTAATTAAAACGGAGGAATTACAACTAGTATAGGAATGTGAGAGGATAGCACTCGAAAAGTGAGTGGGCGTGCAATTTCCTCCCAAGACATAACATAGGAAGGAAATGTCCTAGGAAAGAAAAGAAAGAGATTCCTATACTCTGTTTGTGTTTGGTACAAACCCAATGCATGCACGCTTTTAATCTGGGAAACTGTCAATTCGGTATCTAGTGTGTTGGTTCTGGTGTAATACTCCCTCTGTAAACTAATATAAGAGCATTTAGATCACTACTTTAGTATTCTAAACGCTCTTATATTAGTTTACGGAGGGAGTACTTACTAATCTACTACTCCAGCTGGTGGATTCGTGTCATTCCCCCCTAACCAAACCAAGAGAGTGAAGGAAGGATGGGAATGAAGAATCTGTCGAGTACGCACCTGCTGCTGGTGAAGAAGAGGAGGAGGAGGAGGCGAGGAAGGCTGCTCTGCTGGAGGAGAGCACCGCCCCCATCGCCATGGCCATCCAGAAGGAATGCTCTGCTGGAGGAGGCGAGGAAGGCTGCTCTGCTCTGCTGGAGGAGCTTGCTGCGTCCACTCCAGGTAGCAGCAAGCTCAGGTCAGGGAAGCTGCCGGAAGGAAGCAGCTCAGCTCAGGGGCAGCATCTGTCTCCGGTGAAGAAGGAAAGGGAGGAAGCCATGGAGCGAGCGAGTGAGGGGAGGGGACGAGAAGGAGAGGTGGACGTGCGGATAAGTGGACTCTCTCTCACCTCTCCTCAATCAAAAGCGCCAGCGAAAACACATGGGCATCTGCCTGGTAAAATCTCCCTCCGCCACCGCCACCGCCACGGACGGCGAGGCTTCCTCCACGTCGGCGTGCTCTCGCGTCCGTCCGATCTGCTCCGCCTCCAAAGCTGGAGCTGGAGCTGGCGTGTCGTGTCCCCTTCTGCATCACGGGGCTCCGCTCCGCTCCCTCCTCGTATTCATGAACAACAAGACGCAGACCAGTGGGGCCACTGTGGATCTTCTGGCAACTAGCGTCTGTCTCGGCTCGCTCGGGCACAAACACCGGACAAAAGCTTCCCTCCACCCCCTACACGTCCGTCCGACCGACCCAACTGCATCCCTCGTACCGTCCCTATACGTTCAGACTATCAGTTCATGTCTGGGGCGAATATAGGGAGGCCCAGGCACGTCAGGACGCGTCGGATCCAACCCAAGCTGGCTCACCCCGACCCCACAAATATCCCCTCCCTTTAGGCATCCGGACAAAACCCTAGCCACTTGTCAATCTACTCCAATTTCAATCCGCTCTGATCTAACCATATCTTATCTTCGATGATCTCCGGCCATCTCCAACATGGCGGGCAATGGATCCGAGTCCAACAACTCTGGATCCGCCGTCTAGGACCTCATCTCGTGCGGGGGACGAGGAGGAGTTTGTCGTCCGCATGTCTCTTCGCCGGTCCCATGAGGGAATCCGCCCGAGCTCAGCCATCCAAGTTGTCCCGGCGGGAATTAATCCATTGCATCCGAGCAAGTGGTGCGGGCGGCTCAAGGAGCCTGGGCGAGACGGCTCGCGGTATAGGCGCTCCGCCACGGACGTTCTAGAGCTGGTTGTGGAACCCATGCGGTGGGTCATCCTCGTCGTCAGATGACAGGCAGACAAATGGGGCACCACCGCGCCGGCCCGTCTGCCCGGTGAGCCGAGTCGCCATGCCTCGGACTCCGGGAGCCGCCGCACGCTCAGAGGACGCGACAAGAGCAACCAACGGTGCATGGGAGTACATGCCGAAGACGACACACCGAAGTTGCATGAGCGACGTTGGTCCACTCGGTGATGGCTCGGAGCGCCTCGGCCCGCGGTTGCATTCACCCTGGACACCCGCCGGGCATGACGTGAAGCTCGAAGAGCCGCCCTTGTCCAACCGCGAGCGATGGAGGGCGAGCCCCTTGTCGGACAACACAGATCGAAGACTCCGCAGCAACCACATCACAATCAATTGGGTCGGTTTTGGACTCCCAATCTGCTGCCTGAGCCGGCCATGGTGGAGCGGAGGAGAAGGGAGAGGACAATATGGAAAGGGAGTGGAGCAGAGCAGTCGAGAGTGAGGCCTAGGGTTTGGTTTGAGGTGGTGTGGGGCTGGCATAGGCCAGTCCAGCATGGACCGCCTCATAATCGCCCCACATATGGCTGGGTTTGAGGGGTGCCGGAGAGCGTGGACATTTGACCTCGTTATGTGGGGTCTGGTCGGACACGGTTTTTCGGCCGAGGCATGGTCTGGACTGTGCGCCGGGATAAATGTGGGAGAGTGAGGAGCCAGTTGAAAATGTACTATTATAAATAGTACACTCTCCGTCCCAAAATAAGAGTGTCATATGACACTCTTATTTTGGGACGGAGGGAGCCATCCTTGTCAAGAAAAAGAATAGAAGCAAGGAGGCAGTATCTCACAGCCCAGATACCGTATGGAGGACGCTCCCTGTCCCTCTCATTGGAGAGGGGAGGGGAGAGCATATTCATACTGCACCAACAAAAATTCTCTTGTTGCATCTGCACATGACGGAATTCAGACACATGGATCAAATTCTCTCCCTATTTGTCTGTTTTACTTTTACCAGACACGCAGACTCAGCTGTTTGTTGTATATACAGTATTACATTACTGTCCATTATACCGTATCGACTTCCTCCCATATCTTTCATCTCATCTCTCCCAATCAACCAAACCAAACCAAACCAGGTCAGGCATTCTTCAGGCCACGACGAGGTCGAGGGTGTAGTCCCACAGCTTCTTCCCCAGCTCCGCGTCCTTGGCCTTGTCGCTCGGCTCGTACAGGTTGCTGTCGCTCCAGTACTTCCCCGACACCCCCTTCGCGCCCGGGTGCAGCGCCACGTAGCACTGCGTCGCAGCCCCCTATTGCAAATCCAAATCCCAAATCAAATCAAATCGCCCAAGAGCAAGAGACTAGTGTTTTGTACTGTCAGAGCTAGCTAGTAGACTTGGAGCTAGGATAATGACAGAAATAATGATGATGATTGATTGATTTCTGGCCACAGAGTTTCAACATCTATAGCCGCGTGTTAACAAATGATGATGACCCAGTGAGATCTGGATCTCTTCTACTTCTCTAATCAACTTGTACATTCTGAATAAACTAGTACTGTACATCTTCAAGTATATATTAGGGGCCTGCCCGAGGCAGCAGACCAAGTGCAGTGCAGTGCCGGTGAGGTCCCTAGTAAGGAGTACATCGCCAAACCTAGGACAAAAGACTAGTAATACTCCACAACTGCAGATCCTGCCGTCCTATGCCATTTCCCAGATCAAGCTCAATTCGTCATCGACGCAATGTGACGACATCCCATCACATGGCCACGTTATTATAACGCGGAATGCTACACCTATCGTTTGATAGTTTCTCAACACCAGCCATGGAGCCCCTGTTGTTATATAATCTAAAATGGACACAAGGCCCTGCTGTCAAGATTGAGCGTACTGCTGCAAAAGAAGCGCACCTGCTGGACGTTCTTCAGCACCAGTCTACCAAGCGTCCGGCTCATGACTGCAGATACGGGAAGGAAAACCCCCCCATGAAATCAGTCGTTAGTTAGGGTTTCAAAAGAAGCACTCCATTTCTGCTGAGTAGAGTATATTTCTTTCTTTGTTTACCATCTATGATGCTGTGGTGGCGAAGAAGGTTCGTGATGATAGATCCAGGATGCAGAGAGTTCGCAGTGATGTTAACACCCTCTTCCTGTTATCAACAAAATACTGAATCATGATTTGACGTGCTTGGGCTCAACACAAGTCTATATATCATATTGATAAAGAACTGAAAATAAGAGCAAACAATTCAGCTTTCAGACAATGGGTTTGGATGCAGATAAGCAGATTGTTCTCCCACAATTTCAGACCCAGAGAAACAAATGAAATGTGTCATTAAGATCGTGTGGAACAACCGCTCAGCTTTCTTTTATTCCAGAAAGTGGTGTGATTTCTAACCGCAGACTCTGAGAAAAAAAATCCAACTGACGATGTTTGCTAGCATAAGTACTCATGCTGGACCTAACAAGCTCGAAATAATACGAACCCAAGACATGGCGCAGTGCCACAAGCACACAATCTAAAAGGAACGAGACATACCTTAAATCTCCTGGCAAGTTCATTAGCGTGTAAAATGTTGGCAAGCTTTGACTGCCCGTATGCTGCAATGGTGCTATACCTGCACAACGCAAGGTTGAAACAGCAAGTGATTCTCGTTTGCCTTGACATAAAGTAAATGGTAGGGGAAAACATAAGAATGACTGCACGGAAATTACATACTCTTCCTCGTCATTTAGCTTGGCGAAACGGATGCCTTCCTTGTATGCAAACCTGTGCCCCTCTGACGAAACATTAACAATTCTTCCTTCCACGTTTGATTCACGAGAGGTCTTCTTCATGGTCTCCAGCAGAAGATGTGTCAACAGAAAATGCCCTGAATATTATGACATGACAGTTAGTTTTTTTTTAGAAAAGGAGGATCATGACAGTTAGGTGACGTAGAAACGAACTAGTAGGGTTAGGAGAAATAGAAATTACAAGCTTGTAACTGTCTGCTGATACAATTTGCAGGTTTTGCACTGCTCTAGAATTGGCAGCAATTTTCTTTTTAATTATATAGGTTCAGAGTTCAGGAGCAGCAGTACTACAGCAATGTCGATACATCAAGGGGCCATTCAAACTTATATTAAGGCATAAAAAGTCAACCTCGCTGCCTGGGGAATGCCACTGGAATAAAATTGACAACACTATTTCTGAAATGAAGTGTTTTTTTTTATCATATCAGGGTATGTTAACTGGGTTCATCAGCTAGTCAAGTAGTAGATGGGAGTTGAGTTGGTAATCGATTCATACCGACATGGTTAGTTGCAAACTGCATCTCGATGCCATCCTTTGAGAGGGAGAAAGGGGTCGCCATTACCCCTGCGTTGTTGCTGCCAGCCAGAGAAAGCATCATGTATGTAATCAGGGAACACGATGAGGTATTAGAGTACGCTTGAGCAAGCATGAAAGACACTAGGTCCCAATACACGAGATGATTATTGAAGAAAGGTACAACCAGTAAGTATTCAGGGCCAATTGTTGTGGTGCAAGAAGCATCGTAAGCAGATACTTGACCAATACTATGATCTTGTATCCAGGTCACTAGCAATGTCATACCAACTCTAGTCTAGAGTGAAGTGCTACAAACCGATTACCGTTGCATGAAATGAAATTTCCCATGCCCATAGCCTCCTTAAAATTTGGAAATCTGGAAGATTGTTCCTGAATTCAGGACTGAAGGCATCACCAGAATATCTTTCTTCCACCCTACACTGATGTACTAGTCGCAGCATTTACTCGGACTAACATGTTATGGTTCAAGCGGAGCCGGTACAAAAGAGACCCAGAAATTAAATCGGCTCGGTGTTGACAGAAACCTGCTGAAACTATCAAGTTGCAGCCAAACTGACAGAAACCTACTCATGAAGTCATGATGCAGATGTTGCTCTCTGAATTTAATGGCCGTCAGCCCCTGTCTAACTGAACCTGAACCTGAATGGTCTTGACAACTGAACCTGAACCTGAACCTGAACTATCGAGAAGTGGGGCTGCCTTACATGAGGATGTTGAGCGGGAGTCCCCTGGCGGCGAAGTCGTCGGCGAACTTGCGGACGGAGGCCAGGGAGGAGAGGTCCAGCTCCATCACCTCCATGCTCGCCGCGGGGGTCTCGGCGAGGACGGCCTGCCGCACGTCCTCTGCGGCGGCGAGGTTCCTGGCGGCCATGACGACGTGGGCCCCGCGCGCCGCCAGCACCCGCGCCGTCTCCGCGCCGATCCCGCTCGACGCACCTGCCAGCGGCATGGCAGGGAACCGATTCAGCGACTCGAATCAGATGGAACGAGGGAGGGAGGGGCAAAGGAGGGGTAGGTAGGTACCGGTGACTATTGCGGTGAGGCCGGCTGCGGAGACGCCGGCGGTGACCTGGTCGGCGGTGGATGCCCAGGAGAAGCCCGAGGCGCCCTTGCGGCTGAAGAGCCAAGGCAGCATCTTTTCTTCTCTTCTAGTCAAATCACGCAGAGGCGGAGGCGGCGGCCGGCGGAACGGAAGATAGATGCAAGCAAGGAAGGATGGAGGGGGCGGGCGGCCGGCCGGCGGGCAGTCTCTTCCCTTTCTCTTTTGCTACGCAACGACGGAGGAAAGTTTTAATTTAGTCTTGGTTTTGGTAAGATTTTAAAAAAAAGGAGCGAATATGGTAAGATTTGACTTGATTTCCGTATCCGGAGGGATAAGTTTTGATTGTGTTGTGAAATTTTTGATTTGATTTTATTAAGTTAATCCATGAGGTGATTTTGGGAAAGTATCGATTAGCTATAAAGAAGGAAGTCAGGCCAAGCCCATCGTGAAACCCTAGGCCCACATACAATCCCTCCATTCCTCACAGAAAAAGAGGCAGGAATCCTCTCCTCCGCAGCCAGCCATGTCGTCGTTCCAAGGCTGGATAGATCTCCCGCCGGAGCTCCTCACTCGCGTCGCCGATGGCCTCGACGACCTCAGGTTCTACACCAGCGTGCGGGGCACCTGCACGGCATGGCGTCGCGCGCTCGCGCCGCCTACGCCATCGCTGCTCGTCCTCCACCGCGACGGCGCCACCAGACGTCGGCCCGCCGCCATCGTCTCGCTCCCCGCGCACCGCTCCTTCGGCCTCAAGGCAATCCCCTCAGGCTCGTCCTGCCCCAACGCCTTGCCCCCGATGCGCGGCTCCTTCGAGTTCACGTCCACCTACCCGATTAGGAGCTGCCTCGGTTGCGGAGGCGGGTGGCTTGCCTTTTCCGTCTGCCTCTACGACGGCCAAAGCCTGCTCACCCTCTTCCACCCAGTCACCGCCGCCGAGATTCTCCTACCGCCGCTCATCTACGACACCCGCTTGCTCTCCAAGATCGTCTTCGTGCCTGACCCCACTAGGGACGACTTCACCGCCGCCACCATCTGTGACATCGACAGGCTCGCCTACGTCACCGCGGGGGCCAGGAGGTGGGCCATCCTTGACCGCGTCCGTCTTGCCACCGGAGACCAGCTCATCGATGTCATCTACCATCAAAATGGTCAAAATGGTATGGTTTACTGCCTCACTCGGTTTGGGAATGTTTATGTGCTCCACCTACCGGAACGCCGCCGCCGCGAACCCGTCATCATCGAGGACCAGACATTAGCAGAGGATCTTGTAACGCGTAACAGGCGCATCATTCAAATGCACAATGCCGGATCGGACCTGAACGCGCCGGCTAGCATGCAACCACTGCTCTTGTCTTCGGCGAGCAGTTTCACCCCACTGTACATCGCTGTTTCGGATTTGACGAGTGCCAAGAACCTGGTGTTCTGCAATGGCAACCTGTACCAGATCTGGAGGAATGCTACTTGTACCGTCACTTTGCATCTGGTGGGAGGCAGTCATCGCCGTATAGAGGAGGATGAAATATTTGTTCTCAAGTATAATCCCCGACGCAGGCCTTGCTGGGACGCGGTGGCTGACTTAGGGGGATACTCGGTGTTTGTTGGGAGGAGCAATGCGGTGTCAATGCATGCCGAAGGTGTTCCAGGGCTCAAGGGTAACTGTGTCTACTGGATAGGTGGGAGAGGTAGGGATCAAGGCATGGTATTTGACATGGGGACCGGGAAATCTACACCTTGCCTTCCCTCTACGGCCGGTGTCGTTCCGGGGCCTCTACAGTGCACATTCTGCTGGTACTTTCCGAGGGAGGTAGTGAATAACTGCAATACAAATGAATTAGGTGTTTATGGGACCGGAGCAAGGGTTCGGGCTCAACGTTCACAAGACATGTCACAATGATGTGTCGCCAAGATAGCTTGGTGACATAGTGAGCACCACCGGCCTGGAAGTGATGTTTATCATGCATGACAAGAAATCTTGCAAAGTGTAATTGCTTGTTGTGTCCAAGCCTGGTGATAAGTGAGGAGGACAAAGACAAACCACTTTTCAACCCAATAGAACTGATGGAAGGATTACATTTGCAGCCAATGGTACAAACAATTTTTGAAGCTTCATTAGCAGCCAATGAAAGGGAAAAGGATGGTGAGAAGTTTGAGAAGAACAAAAGATTTGTGTGTATTTGTGTCTGAGATGATCAATGTCTTGAGAAGAATACATAATAAGTAATACATGGTACGTTGTGTTGGTTTAGTTCCCATGCTTGGATTATGTTGAAGGTAATATGCCCTAGAGGCAATAATAAAGTTATTATTTATTTTCTTATATCATGATAAATGTTTATTATTCATGCTAGAATTGTATTAACCGGAAACATAGTACATGTGTGAATACATAGACAAACTTAGTGTCACTAGTATGCCTCTACTTGACTAGCTCGTTATTCAAAGATGGTTATGTTTCCTAACCATGAACAAGGTGTTGTTATTTGATTAACGAGGTCACATCATTAGTTGAATGATCTGATTGACATGACCCATTTCATTAGCTTAGCACCCGATCGTTTAGTATGTTGCTATTGCTTTCTCATGACTTATACATGTTCCTATGACTATGAGATTATGCAACTCCCGTTTATCGGAGGAACACTTTGTGTGCTACCAAACATCACAACGTAACTGGGTGATTATAAAGGAGCTCTACAGGTGTCTCCAAAGGTAGATGTTGGGTTGGCGTATTTCGAGATTAGGATTTGTCACTCCGATTGTCGGAGAGGTATCTCTGGGCCCTCTCGGTAATGCACATCACATAAGCCTTGCAAGCATTGCAGCCAATGAGTTAGTTGCGAGATGATGTATTACGGAACGAGTAAAGAGACTTGCCGGTAACGAGATTGAACTAGGTATTGGATACCGACGATCGAATCTCGGGCAAGTAACATACCGATGACAAAGGGAACAACGTATGTTGTTATGCGGTCTGACCGATAAAGATCTTCGTAGAATATGTAGGAGCCAATATGGGCATCCAGGTCCCGCTATTGGTTATTGACCGGAGATGTGTCTCAGTCATGTCTGCATTATTCTCAAACCGTAGGGTTCGCACGCTTAACGTTACGATGACAGTTATTATGAGTTTATGCATTTTGATGTATCGAAGGTTGTTCGGAGTCCTGGATGTGATCACGAACATGACGAGGAGTCTCGAAATGGTCGAGACATAAAGATTGATATATTGGATGCCTATGTTTGGATATCGGAAGTGTTCCGGGTGAAATCGGAATTTTACCGGAGTACCGGGAGGTTACCGGAACCCCCCGGGAGCTATATGAGCCTTAGTGGGCCTTAGTGGAAAAGAGAAGGGGCAGCCCAAGATGGGCCGCGCGCCCCTCCCCTCCCTTGGTCCGAATAGGACAAGGAGAGGGGGCCGGCCCCCCTCTCTCTTTTCCCCCCCTCCGCGAATCCTATTCCAACTAGGATTGGGGGGGGGGGGAATCCTACTCCCAGAGGGAGTAGGACTCCTCCTGGCGCGCCTCTCCTAGGCCGGCCGCACCCCCCCTTGGTCCTTTATATACGGAGGCTGCCATGATGCCCCACTTTTGACAAGGAAACAACCAGACTCTACTCATGTGAGACGTGTTGTGAGCAGGGATGACACATGCTACGGTGAGTGGGACAACATGTTGCACGCGGTGATAACGGGCGCTTTGACTTGCTAGGATGACATGTTGCAAATGGTGGGATGATGTGTTGTGACCTCTGGGACGACATGTTGCCAGCAGCAACGACAGGCAATACAATTACAACTGGTGGGGAGATGTGCTTCGAGTGGTGAGGGCAGATGTTGTGACCGGTGGGATGACATGCTGCAAGCGGCAATGACAGACCCTGTCAGTGGTGGGACGACATGTCGCGAGGCCGTTAGCCGAGTGCTCATTCTTGCAGAAATCTCCGCGTACACCCCATGTCCCAGTTGTGGATCATGTCCGTCACCGTCTGCGCGTACGTCTTCCTCCTGCTCCTCTGCATCTCGCGTAGCAGGACGTTCTATGTCGACCTGGTCTGCCTCTCCTACGGCCTCCTCGCCGCTGCCGTGACTGCAGCCTACGTCAGCCCGCGGGCTGCCGTCATTGCCCTCCACCTGGCCACAGTCTACGCGGCCGCGCACCTCGGTTACGCGCTGGCCCTGCACCGCCTCCGCACTGGGGCGGCGCCGGCCGTCCCTCCTCGCCCCTCCTCCTTGGACTTGGAGGACCAGGAACGCGTGCGGGCCCTCGCGATGATCTTCTTCACGTTGCTCTGCATGGGGCTGATGAGGGTGCTGGTGATGGACACGGTCGGCGTCCAGGAGCTCATGACCGTCTATTAGAGCATCTCCGGCCGTTCGCCCCCCAGGACGCATAAAAATTGCCCCTTGAGGGCGAGCCGACGATACAATCGGCGCTGGGGGCGGTTTTGCACCCAGTCGTCACCCCCAGCTCGCCCCCAAGCGCCGATATTGGCCCACTTTTCAGCCTCATTTCGACGAATAAAGGGCCCATATGGGCGACAATAGGCCCATATTCGGCGTGGTTCGCCATTGTTCGGCATTCAATTATCAACATAATAATGTTTTATCACATATTTCATCACAGAAATATTAAATACTTCAACAAAATAGTACAACAACAAATAGTTCAATGCAAATTATGTAGTTCAACAATTAAAAACTCATATTTCATCACACATTGCGCCCAGCGTCGCCCTTGAGCCTCCATAGGTGCTCTATTAGATCTTGTTGTAGTTGATGATGCACCTGCGGGTCTCGGATCTCCTGACGCATACTGAGATAGGCAGTCCAGGTTGCCGGTAGCTGGTGATCAACTTAGGCTAGAGGACCCTGCCTGTAGTATGGTTTAGTGTCAAACACTGGGTCTTCATGCTCGCTCTCGATGATCATGTTGTGCAAGATGACACAGCAAGTCATAATCTCCCACATTTGATCTTTCGACCAGGTCCGTGCTCTGGGTGGTGACCGTGGGCCTAGTGCTCCTGCATGGCGTGTTGTTCCCGGCGGGGATGGAGACGGCGACGTTTTTCCTCATCGTGTGGGGCGTGTTGGTTTCTCCGGCGACCCGCACCGTGGCAGGCGCCGTCTGCGCGGCGGTCTTCCAGCTGCTGCTGCTCATGGCATTGGCTGCTCTTTTCGGCTACTGTCTCGCCGTCTACATAACCTACCCGCACGTTGCCACCGCCGCCGATGCCGAGGCGGACGACGGGATGCTAGACCACCACGGCGGTGGAGAGATGGCGATTCAGCAGGAGCTTCATCTTGAGCATGGAGAGTAAGATCATGATCTGCTGCTGGTGCTGTCGAATACTAGCTAGTAGATGCCCATTGGCTGAATCTGAACTAACGGAAGTACCTTGATTCAGGCTTGAGCACTTAATTTGCAGATCTTCAACATGGTTACACACCTTACCTTATACATGCTCACCTCAATTGAGAATGATGGCAGTTGAAGCTAGATAGCTGAATCAGATCACTACATCATTCAGATTGAAGCCCCCCCCACCCGATCCACGGAAAATTGCATCCATGTGGAAAGCCTTCGATGGAGCTGTACGGCGAATCAGATAAGTCATGGAAAAAATTGCATCCATGTGGAGTGACCATTGAATTAATGGAAGAGGACATTTCTCAAGTAAAGTGATCGAGGATTCTAGGGTTTGTGATCCTCATTACAATTACTGCGCCCAAAGGTAGTTAAGTCCGAGTCGACTCCGTAGCCGCTGGATCTTTTGTGCGGAGATTTCTACAAGACTGAGCACTCGGACTCGCAACATGTCGTCCCACCGCTTGCAATATCCGTCGCCGCTTGCAATATCCGTCAACATGCCCTCGAAGCACATCTTCCCTTTGGTTGTAGCGTCCGCCATAGCCGCCTGCAACATGTCGTCCCAAAGGTCGCAACACATCGTCCAACCATTTGCATCATGTCATCCTAGCAAGTCAAAGCATCCCGTTATCGCCCGCTTGCAGCATGTTATCCCACTGGTCGCATCATGTGTCATCGCTGCTCATAGCACGTCTCATAGGAGTAGAGTCTGCTTGTTTCCTTGTCAGCGGTGGGGCATCATAGCATCCTTAGCTTTAGATTCTATCATCGTTGTATCTTGCCTTGTGTGTGTGTGTGTGTGTGTGGTGTGATGTCGAGTTGCATGGTAGTTGTTTTATCTATAAAGCGGAGCGCGAGCCTTTTTCGATAAAATAAAGTCAGGCAATAGCAAACAATAAGAAGGTTGTACCCACACATACCCTACCCATTGTCATCATGGGGTCCCTCTGTCACGTTTGGATTTATTTATAAAATGGGCAATAGCCCTTCTTTTAGAAGAAACTAGGAAAACCTTCATCTCCCTAGAACATAAAAAGGAAGTTTGAACACAATTGTCATGGGATTTTTCAAAATCTATTTTAAACATCATTTTTGTTCCCATGAATATCATTTCAAGCTTTATGTAAGATAACTATTAAAGTATATATCTTTCTTTGGTAAATGTTGTTTGTACAGGGGTTATAGTTTTATCAGCTGAAGTAATAACCCTATTATTAATAACCTTAGTTATCAACTTAAAATTGACATCACTCAAACATAGAACTGTACATCTTACGAGCATCTACAGCCGAACTTGGTAAATTTGAACCCTCAAACGTCCGCGGCATTTGGAATGAATTATTTGAGGCCTGGTCACTGTTCGCGGACGCGCCCGTATGAGGCCGTGATGCCACACCTTGCGGCGGATCCATGCGTCATTTGGATGGACGCAATGGATCCCCGTGAAAGGAGTCTGAGCGCTGTCGTCGGGCGGCCTCCTCACAGAAATGGCGGAGCGTAAGCCGGACCGTCATGTCCTCCTCGG